GCCTGCCTTGCCATATACCTCATTTTAATATTATGATTAGCTACTTTAATATTGTAATGAACCAAGTGCGAGTGACTTGCTTGTAAATATGCCATAAGTTTGAGTATCTGTTCACCGCCTTCGGTCCCGCCCGCTTTTGCATCTGTATCAAGCGTTAATTTCTCCTGGTGAGTTAATTGTTGGACCCCCAGGATTTTTTACAAGGTGGCCTCCAGCATACAGACAAAGGAAAAGCCAACACAGGTCTAGATTGCATCAAGGAGGTCAAAAAGAAATATTTTTTACCTGCATGATTGCATAGAGGTTTCATGTTTTGGGGCTGTACTGTAAAAGTCTGAAATAAATTCAACTCGGTGCGGTGAAATCGTCTCTCCCCGGCAAAATCCCTCAGCAGCAAAACGTAGCTGTCCCTCCACGCCACCCCCCAAGGAACAATGCCCTGCCTCAGAAGTCTGCGAAGGAGGCTACGTTTCTCGGTCAATTTCTACTATTTATTCAGCATGCAAAGGAGTCTGAAGGAGGCTATTTGTGGCACAATGAAGCAAGTCGGAGGCCAAATCATTTTACGTTCACCGTTTCTGTCCTCTTGGTAGAAGCATGGAGGTAAAAATTAACAGTAATTTTTTTACCCCCATGGTAGAAGCAAGGACATTATACACTCTGTATAATGTCCTTGGTACATGTAGAAGCAAGTAGTAACCTTGATACCAAGACCTATAGCGCATTAGGCCCCGAGTTAGCCAGAGTACAGGCTCAGGGCTATAACTGAGAGGCTCTGTGGTAAAATTTCTTCGGGGGCATGTTAGTCCGGGACCCGAGAAGCGGGCCTAATTGTACGCCCTGGAAACAGTCTGGCGTCCAGGCTAGTTAGAAGCAGCCTGATAGAAAAAAATGCCCTTCCCGTGCGTGATATTTAAACAATCACAACGCATCGTGTAATTTTTGCTACTTTGTAACCCATTTTTTTATCTGCCTACTTGAATCACTGGATCTCGTGATACGAGTCTCCCAGTCCATTTTCTGAGAGAAAATTATGTATATATACCATAGATTGTTGAGCAAAACTAGCTAAAATACGGTAATAAATGTTCTTCAGCCTTTGTTATGAAGACTTTTGGCATTTGCAACTTTTTTTTTCGTTTCGTTTTGTCTTCTCTCTTTCAACCAACCTCCTTTCAAGTAAGGTAAAGACAACAATGTGACAGTCCCTGACTCACAGAACTGCGCATAACAATACGTCCTTATGCAAATGCGGATGGCTCATAATTGTGTCTCGTGGAGGTGCTAAAACACCTAATTGATGTGGCTGTCAACATGATTAATTGTGATTGATGGGAGAAAATGGGCAAAATGTGGCTTTCCTGCTACAAATTTGTAGTACAAACTTTGAACGATTTTAAAGAACTATAGCCACCTTTCAGGAAGGAAAACAAGTATGTCAAATGATGCGTCATGTCCCGTTCTACACCAAAACGATATGAATATTTTGTTAAATGATTGCTACATTTTGTTATTAGCCAATTTCTAAAGAGCTACCCTCAAAATCTATCAATGATATTCATAAAAAACAATTTTTCAAAACAAAGGAAAGGAAATCTTGATTTAACTCACCAGTTTCTGTTAGAAGGTATGTGTTAGCAGCTGTATGCAAAAAACTGTGACTGTTGGACTTTGGGAATAGTTCTGCAAACTCCATTTTGTACCAAAAATAATGGCATTATTATTTTCATAATCTAAACAAATAGACTTAACATAACAACATCAAATTTATTTAGATGCACTGATATTCATCTAATTTATCTCCCCTGCAAATTTGAGCCATTTTGAAACATGTATTGTCGAGTTATTACAAGTTTTATTCAGGACCTAAGTGGTAGCTAGAATATGCCCTGGGCCGCCTTAGCTCTGCTGAGCAATATAGATTTAGCCCCCAACGTCTTCATCAACATGCGTAGGCTTGATGTTACAAAAATTAATCCTCAAAAGTAATTATATATTTAAAATAACGGGGGGGGGGTGCCCTAACATCGGGCATTTTCATGCGCTCGAACTCACGGCACTCTATAGCTACTTGTCAGAGAGTGGTCAGGTTTTGATGAATAAATTTGAGAACATTTAAATGTAAACAACATACTCGGAAAAGAAATTTATTAATTAAATATTATTCGTGAGCCCTCCACGCTCCGCGTTACAAGCGACAAACTTTGTGAGACGTTTTTGTGTATGTACCTTTGTGAATACCTTTGTCTCAATTAACCCTACCTAGACCGGTGGGGGGGGGGCTAAAAGTGCCCGCGGCAACTTTGATGTCACCTAGCGCCTGAACGGCAAAACTTGGTGACTTTTCCTAGAATATTGTTGGCAACAATTCTCTATCATTGGAATAAGATAATAATTTTTGTGTTGCCATGGCAACGGGTTTCTGACAAGAATTTTTTGCTAGATTTAGTATTTTTTGTTTCAACAATAGAATTTTTTTGGGTTTTATGTCAAGTTACTCATGGTTTCTAATATTAATAACATCCCATATAATTTTAGGTAAATGTTATCATTAAATATGCATACTTTATGTTAATTTGATGACGTCATTGGCCAAAATCCAAGATGGCGGACCATATTATTAGAACAGGTATATACAGGTTATTTTCCTTAAAATTTCATCAATACTTCCATTTCTTTTTCCAAAAAAGGTTTGAATGAAGGTCTTTAGTATGTTTACAATGTATTTTAGGCTTTATCATGAAAGAAAAAACTTTTTAAAATTCAAGATTGATGATCCAAGTTGGCGGATATCTTAAATATGCATGACCGGTGTTGCTATGGGCAACATAAGACTTAGTACACCATAATATTCTGTCATAAACACTTTTGGTACAGTTATGTTGAATACCATTTAGTTTTCAGGGAAAACCTATTTAGACGGTTTTGGCCAATAAAATCACATTAATGACGTCATAATGACGTCATATTACGTCATAACGACATAAAAATTGTAGATATGATAGATTTTTACTAGTAAACCATTCTCTGAAAATTTGGTGGTCATACGATATACCGTTCGCGAGTTCTTAGGGGAGGGGTCAAAAGAGCCCCCCTCCCGGTCCCCCCATGTCAAAAAAGCCCGGTCTAGGTAGGGTTAATGGATATGGTAAAGAATTGAAAGGCCACGAGGTAAAAGTAGACGTCAGCAAGAACTCACTTTGGGCTATACTGCAAGTGCCTTAGAGCTTAGCACTGATGAGTCTGGGTTAAGTTGATCGCTGATGCAAAGAAAAACATGTCGAAGTAACATATTTTCACAGTTCGTATTAAGAAAAATTATCAAATATCTATTTGAATAGCTATAATTATTTAATAGGACGTGAATTAAATTTTGTAGGCAAATTTCGTTTCTTTTAGTAGACTACCTGTGTCTGAAATATTTTTTATTCATATCACATCGGCATAGTCAAGGCTTGAGGACTTTCCCCGGTACTGACAGGAGCATAATCCCTCTGTAGGGAAGGAGAAGGAGCTGTCTGAACTGGGAATGCGCTGGAAGGATGTTGAGAGAGAAGCCCAGAACAGAGCTGGATGGAGGGAAATCGTCGGTGGCCTATGCTCCGCACGGGGCCGGCCAAGGGCCCAGGTAAGGTAAGGTAATAGTCAAGACTTGGGCAAATAAACGGCTTGTATATAGTTTCCAAAACATGGCAGGGGAGTTTAAATTCAACGAATTATAGCCACGGGCCTTAGCATTTGGTCAAAAGTTGGCCATTAATTATAAGTTCACAAAATGTTACAGACATTGGTTTCCTCGACTTCGGCGAGAGATCAGTGGGAGGGAAACGAGACAGAACAAAAAACTAGACCAATTGCCAGCACGTACAGCAAGATATTCGAAAAGCCCATTGCCTTACCTCGTCCACCTTTAAACAGCACTCTGTAATGTAATCCTGTAATGCACATGCCGTTATATACTTTGATTTTAAGCTAGTACTTTTAATGAGGTCGGTATTTTAACTTTTAGTGTTGTATTGTAAAAATGTAATGATTTTATTGTCACAATATGTTTTTATACAATGTACGGGACATGTAATTCAGCCTTCGGGCTGTAAGGTGTTTCAAATAAAACCCGCATTATTATAACCCGTATAATAAAATCTATTAGTAAATAAACATCTGTTTGCTTCAGTCACAGTTTAGTAGCAGGATGAAATCAACAAAGTCCAGATAATTGAGAGTTAAAATTAAGCAGAAATTGAGGTGATAACTGCCTTCCCCAATGGGGCCTGGCAGGGATTTGAACCCAGAACCTTTTAAATCGGAGCCAACAACCAGTCATCACACCACCTGATATGTTTTGCCTTCCACAGAAGCAGCTCTATTTACATTTTAAGGGCATTTAAGGTCAGCGTCAACTCGCTCGAAAAGATTTAATGATCCAAGGTGACCTCAAGCAGGTTGTTAACCACATTCTTAAAGGAAATGGCTGCTGGCGTATTGTCTTCACAGGTTTTCGAGCTTGTTCCCTTAAACCTACAGACATTTCTCGTGTTCAGTATTGCCTTTCTTCTAGCATGTCTGTATCTTAGACGTCCCCAGAACCTACCCACATACCCGGCTGGGTGTCTGCCTGTTCTCGGGCACCTCCTCGCCTTGGGCCGAGCGTCTCACCTCAAGCTAACGGCGTGGAGGCGGCAGTATGGGGACGTCTTTACCGTCAGAATTGGGATGGAAGATGTGGTGGTTCTGAACGGCTACGCTGCCGTCAAGGACGCGGTCATGAGCAGGTCTGAGCTGTTCGCCTCCAGGCCGGCAATCTACATGTTTGATGCTGTCTTTGGTTCCGGAAAAGGTATTTTCCCCATCCATTTAATTCTATCTACAATGGGGCAAAGTTATAATTGTTGCTGTTCATGTGTACACAAGGTTTAATACTTCTTTGTTTTCAACAAGGCACAGCGATGGGATATGGGGCAGGGGAGAATAGCACTTGTATAGGGTCATACTAAAGCAGATTTAGGAAACCTATGGAGCTTCCTTTAGCTGACACCTGCTCTATGGGACTGGTACTCGTAAAACTTGGACACTGCACAGGCATTTCTCTGCATGTCAGACCATAGACCTTAAAAGGGGCGCTGAGAAGAAAACAATTATGCGTTGACCTATTAAATCAGGATTTAGGTGTTCAAAGATTTGATACTGACTGTCGCTTATTGCAATGCATCCAGCTACAACCGTGTGTTACATGTTATTGTATTTATACCTGTGTCGGAGAGAATTTGTAAACATTGCTTAAATGCAGTGGAAGACGAAATTCATTTCATCTCTAATTGTCAATTTTATGACGACATCAGAAAACAATTATTTACTACCGTGTCGAAAATGCTCCCTTACTTCCCAACCATTCCCTACCACGAAAAAACAATTTTACTACTAAAATCAAAGAACCCACATATTATAGACGAAGTGCGTAAATTCGTCTTCCATTCCCTAAAAAGAAGAATTTAAACCCAATAAAACTATAGCTAGTACCATGTGTGTTGTAGAATATAGTATAATGTTACGGACGTAGATATAGTCTCAATTACCACTGTATTTTCTTTCTTATGTTGTTCATAACTGCAATTAGCCCTCGAGCATGTATTTACAATAAACTTTCTCTATATTATACAGGCTATACAGAAACAGAAAGGTGGGAATAAGACCAATTTTTATTTGTTCTAGACATTACATCTGCCCGCTGGGGGACCGAGTTCAAACAGAGAAAGCGGTTCGGTCTAACCGTCTTAAAGAGCCTGGGTATGAAGGTCGGACCTGGCAGCATTGAGGAGAAAATCCGAGAGGAGGCGAGCTGTCTCCGCAACAGGGTAAGATCAAAGCCCCCCTCCCCCTCTCTCTCTGTCTACGTGGTAGTTACGGGCGATGCACACCTGGCACGGGCTTTTGTTTGATAAATAACTGCAAGCCCAAGACAAAGTCACGCACGAGCGTATCTGCACAATTCGGGCGCTAAAAGGGGTAATGGGTGCGTTATCCAGAACCATGCCTACTTTAAATCCGCCCAGACACCCATGCGTATCCAGAACCGTGTCTGGGTCCATCCAATGAGCAAATCTGCGTTACTTTTTGGATAGGCGGAGGCAGTCCAAAACTCTGCCTAATCGCGCATAGTTCGGCCTTAATCCCATAGCGTGCTTGGGAAAAACCCGATACATTCCTACACTACACAGCGCAACTAACATTTGGCTGACGCTCTTATCAGGCTTTCTACCAAGCCTTCAAGACTATTCTCTGCACTACTTTCTATTTTCGCGTCAAAGACCCCGGGGGTCGCCCATTAATACTGTGTTCTGCTACCATAACCTGTGTCACCCTCCCCACCCCCACACCCCCACCCCCGTCTTGGGCCGAATGTACACTGCCTCCTTTACTTCTATTGCAAAGAGATTAGTTCTTTAGTCAAGTTTTTTTAGTCAGTTTTTTTATTTCATGTAGCTCCCCTTTTTGTTTAGATGGCAATGTATGAGGGGGAGGCCATCGACTTTGCGCATGACGTCACGGTAGCGGTTGCAAACGTCGTCTGCTGCATGGCGCTCGGGAAGCGTTACGACTACGAGGACGGAAAATTCCGAGAGCTGTCGGAGGCGACTGCCAACGTCATCACTGCACTGGGAGCGGGGCAGATCATCAACGTCTTTCCTGTCTTACGGTTTGTCCCTGGAGGTAAGTCCAATAAATCTACTCTGAGCTTCTTTGATTGAATTTAGCGTGGTCACATTTGCTAATTTCTTTTGTCGTAAAATTTTCAGCAAGTGAAGATTTTTTTTAATTCAACATTATGTACAGGCAGTAGTGAACATTTTTGCGGCTTCACTAATTTTAAAGTAGGGTTGTTTTGGACTAGGGTTATAATAAAATGTCTTTTTGTAGATTGTCGCTAGAAGAGATCATTGTTGAATAGACGGAACGATCTTATTTTTTTTATTAAGGTACACTGGGCTAACTTGGGAATAGTAAAAATTCACTTCTTGGGAGAGGTTTTTTTTAACATTCCAATAAGCTTCTTATGCACAGGGGTGAATTTGAAAAGGCCCAATTTTGTATGAGAGATGAAGTGATATACCTACGAACAAATGTTGACCTTTCTAGTTTTACCTGGCCATGGACAAAGATAATCTTTTGTCAGCATGTATATTAGCAGAATAAGCATCGTAAAATGCATATACTGCTCTTGATTCTTGACAGTATTTGCTTGCGGTATGAAATATCACAAATGTAGTATGCTAATCTCCAAGCAGATCCCTTTTCGGTGGCAAAACAGTATCCATTAGCCAAAGACATTTTGCTATTGAAATCTTTTACAAGCGGTTTATAGCATAAAGTCAGTCACCCGCACACATCTCAGTGGGAGTTCACGTACCTAACTGAACCAGATAATGCTATCAGTTGGTACTAAAAGATGCTGGCTGAAATACAGAAATAAATCATTGAAGTTCTTGTGGTTCATAACTACAGACATCACGACATACATGGTAAACCGTCCTCTCCATTGTTTAAACTGCCCAAACATGGTGTACTGACCCGTAGAGACTTCCTGTAACGGTCAACCAGCTTCCCAACAAGAGGACAATAGCCTTGCATGGTGGTCAGGGCAATAAATACTTGCCAAGCACAGCTTATAATTATTTAGCCAACGATTAGGTGTTGATAGCCTTTGACGTTTCGACAGTCAGCAGATCCTTCGGTGGCCGGCAAAACCTCTGCTTGGAGATTATAGTTGGTGAGATTCGACAAACTTGAAGTAACTGTAAAACAATTCTACCTTTTCACACACAACAATTATATCAGTTTTTGCCTACCTTTTACTTCAAAAAGACAGAAACACATCATCTGCTCAATCTGAATTAACCCTACCTAGACCGGGGGGGGGGCTAAAAGTGCCCGCGGCAACTTTGATGTCACCTAGCGTCTGAACGGCTAGCCGTAGAACGGCCAAACTTGGTGACTTTTCCTAAAATATTGTTGGCAACAATTCTCTATCATTGGAATAAGATAATAATTTTTTGTGTTGCCATGGCAACGGGTTTCTGACAGGCATTTTTTGCTAAATTTAGTACTTTTTGTTTCAACAATAGAACTTTATGGGTTTTATGTCAAGTTACTCATGGTTTCTAATATTAATAACATCCCATATAATTTTATGTAAATTTTATCATTAAATATGCATAATTTATGCTAATTTGATGACGTCATTGGCCAAAATCCAAGATGGCGGACCATATCATTAGAACAGGTATATACGGGTCATTTTCATTAAAATTTCATCAATACTTTCATTTCTTTTTACAAAAAAGGTTAAAATGATGGTCTTTAGTATGTTTACAATGTATTTTAGGCTTTATCATGAAAAAAAAACTATTTTTGAAAATTCAAGATTGATGATCCAAGATGGCGGATATCTTAAATATGCATGACGTCATTTTATGACGTCACCGGTGTTGCTATGGGCAACATAAGACTTATACACCATAATATTCTGTCATAAACACTTTTGGTACAGTTATGTTGAATACCATTTAGTTTTCAGGGAAAACCTATTTAGACGGTTTTGGCCAATAAAATCACATTAATGACGTCATAATGACGTCATATTACATCATAACGACATAAAACTTGTAGATATGATAAATTTTTACTAGTACACCATTCTCTGAAAATTTGGTGGTCATACGACATACCGTTCGCGAGTTCTTAGGGGGTGGGTAAAAGACGCCCCCCCCCCCCCGGTCCCCCCATGTCAAAAAAAGCCCGGTCTAGGTAGGGTTAAGAGGCCCCGAAAATTAAAAATAAGGTTGGATTTTTGGATTTTTAGAAATATTACAGTAATATTTTAGAAATATTACACTTGGATATGGGGACCTGGATTTTATAACAGCGTCAACAAGAATTCTGACCTTCAAGGTCACCCACGATGACGGCAGTAGCTTCGTTATATGTTACATATCCACAATAAAATCACGGCATAGATGTTATGTTTTGAAAACGGTTCATATTTGTGGAAAGGTGGATTTTTCCTGTTCCGTGGTTCCCAAGTAAAAAAGGGCTTGAAGTAGCCGGTTGTAGCGGCTTTACTGTAAATGACCGCGGGTAACCCCGGATCGAACGCCCGTTCTATTCGAATGACGTCATATCGAACAAGATTCGCGGGTTCGGGGGATTCGATCTCCATAGTAGCGGAGTGGGACTTTTGGGCCCAAATTTGACCATCGTGTCTACTTTACATTCATCATCATTCATATATTCAACGTTGGCTCAATATAGAAAGATAATTGCTTTGAGGACGTACTCTTACTTGGAAGTCAGCCATTTGAAAATGTTTTCTCAAACGGTTTTAATATGGAAAGACAGTTTGATAAAACTGCGCTTGAACATTCGTGCTGCAATAGGAATGACAACTCTTCAGTAAACTGTTCAATCAAAACTTCAACTCTATTCTCACAATCAGTCAGTAGTTGCCCCATAACCTCCTCTATTTATATTGTTTCATGTTGCTATTACATAGTGTATAGCCGGTATAACCGCCTTTGTCTGATAGAATGAATGAATGGATGAATAGCTAATTTACATCCTCATTATCATTACAGATCGTACAGTCCAAGTAAAGTACGATTTACAACTAAAAGACAAGAAAGAATATATCCCTTGTTGTTGAGTAGGTTTGCTAGCTAGGGCAATGCGGTCTCTAAGCAGTTCACGTATTGGTGATTCATATTGAACGTTATATGAAATTTTGCACTGCTAAAGAATGTTTCGTACCATTATAGTGGTTTTTAGTTCGGTCCATTGGGACCTGTCCTCAGTGACCCGCACGACAGCTTCCGTAGCGCCACCTGACGACTTGCTGCTGTACTGCATCTCTACAGTTACAGGTTGGTGGAAGGTTGTCCCGTGCTGACCCAGCTTTATAATGTCACTCACTAACATCTCTCCGTCCTTCAGGGGGAGGGTGACGTCATTGGGGTCGATGACCTGACAGGTGATTTCTGTTTACATGGTAACAGCCCCACGCGTGGTTTATAGTTTACCTCCTTCTGGACCCATCTTGAGCTTGTGCATATAAGGGCTGTGACAGAGCAACGAATTTTATCATACATTCCTCTTATGGAATGTGTGTGCAGAATTATCAATGTACAATGCCCATGCAGTTTCATTCTGTCGTATAATGTATAATGCAGTCCCTGCAACATAAGCAAGGCGTCAGCTGTATATTCAAAGTAAAGTATAAGCATTATACATGTATAGACCCGAAACTCTGAATATTCATATTTTGTCCATGCGCGCTTCTTTCTAGCCGTGTACGTTAACCTACAAATTGCAAATTATATACAGTAACTAGTATCCTACCTATATTTAATTTAGAAAATATATGAATTCTCGGATTTCATGCTTTTGCAGCTGACAAACATTACAATGATTACAGTATCCAACCGTTTAAACTTATTTCTATTATATCAAAAGAAGCGTGCTTTTTAATACTTGTCTTGGAATGTGATGTGACACATATGTTACTATAATGCCTTTCAAATTGTAAATAGATCTAGAGCTGAGGGTTCCCTGATAACACTTTATCAATACTCATATCATAGGAATAGAAACTTAATTTTTACCTACCGGGCCAACTTTTTTGTTGCAAAAAGATAGAGAATCTTCTTCCTTCCCTTCAGGACGTGATATTCATCATGCCAACACCTGTCTGGAACGTCTGTACTTGCCGTTATGTTATCGTGAGTCTTACCACGCTACACAGAAAACAGCAACCATTACACTATCACTTACCCAATTCCTACTGGTCACCTGTGCTCCAGGAGGAGTTCAGCAACACCAACATGTCCTTCTGATTCTGCACAGTTAAGCGGTGTGTCTCCAGACCGCTGGAACAGGGATGACAGTACATCGGAAGAGAATGTATGGTAAGATGGTAGGATCAGCATGTCTTAATAGAGATCAAATATGCGTGAAGCCCAACACTCAAACATGTCCAGTAAGCATCAACCCTTACCCTACTGTCCACCTGTGCTCCAGCCTTCACTACAGCGCACACACTTAAGGCCTGCACTATATGGGTGCGCCGTAGTGCGCTCAGTGTGTGTGCACTGTATACTGTGTGAGTGTGCGAGTGTAATGGTGTACCTATATATGTATGAAATATTTCAATAGGTGAGGTACTGTTAGGAACTCCTGAAAGCGAGTCACTAAACGGGAGCTGCATAAAAGGAGGATGTGCTGGAATCGAACTTGCGGATGGGGTAATGTTATAGAAGGTCTGTGTGCCAAGGGCCAGGGGAGGAAGGAAGAATCCGTTGGATGGTGGGTAAACGCATTAGTTATGTACTGATGAATAGGCGAGAAACCTTTGTCATTTTATCTGACTTTATTACAAACAAAGCCCGTTACTAGTCTCTGAATCGGAAAAGAGTCGCTGGTCATAAACTCTCGTATAAACAAAAAAAAAGGAAAAATAGGTAAGGACCAAAATTTTGCGAATTTTCAGACAGGCAAAGGACAACAGAACAGATATTATATGACGAACACATGTTTTTTAACAATCCAATTCGACAAACATTAAAAAACATACTGGTCGAAACGCAAAAAAAACGTGGAGGGAAATACACTCGAAATGCAATACATACATGTAGAACAGGCGCTGTGTACTTCAGTGTTCTCTGTGTGTGCATGTTGTATAAGTCACTGTGTGTGTGCG